AGAACAGCTTTATTTCTGGTTTTCCAACCCTTGAAATTTCGTATTCAAGCAGTTTTCAATAATGCGTAAATTTTCTCCATTTCGCAAAAAAAAATTCAAGCTTTTTGCGCACATTTGTAGCCTACCACCTGTTCTGTGTGACGTGACTAGATTTGATCTTCTGCATGTGATAAAGCCATAAATGCTCTATAAATGAGAAAAAAGATTTTCAAAAAGCAAGAGACATTAGCTTGCAAGCTTGCACTTCTCTTAGCAATGTACAGGCTTCAAAATTAGTATAACGATGCATGTTAATCGTTCTTACAGAAAATAAACCAAGGGGGTTGCCCGTTATTTCTTGAGCATAGGATACCTTGTAAGAACTATTCTTGGAGCATCAAATGCGATAGTGACATTATAATACCAAAGCGAGGTCCATTTTTCTTCCTAAATCGTAGCACTTTATAAAGCGCATATTACATACACTCTAGCAAATATGGAGTTCCGCTTGTTACCGCCATTTTACGATTTTGTAGTTTGGAGAGTATGTACTACCAACGCATGTAGAAAGTAGTTAGTAAACTGAGTTGATCACAACGAGTATCCCTTCAGAATTCAATTCTGTGACCACTAAACGGAAGTCGTAATGTGTTTTATGTACGCCTATGCACCTCCTGTAGAGTTTAGTCTGGAAAAACATCTGAAACAAAATTTCGCAAGCATTACTCACGAACGAAAACGACAACAATGGAATATTACCAGTATTTTAAAATAATAGTTAGATTCAGATTATATGATTATAATACGTAATGTACTACCAACGACATATCTAGAACCATCAATAAAAATGCACGGAAAAGTAGACAAATAAAATTTCGCCGTCTACTTATGCAACAGAATGCTTAATGATTTTAAATACATTGTGTATAGGATCTGCTTATTACGAAACGGTTATAATTCATTTGAAGCAATTTACATTTCAAAAAATGTTATGACGTTGCAGTAAACAAAATGCTATTGTTTTTTTTATTCTATTTCAAGATGAGTGTAGCTGATGTAAAAATGAATTTTCATCTTCTATCTTTCATCAGCGATTGTATTTTTAATGCTAGGATGTAACATAAGTTTTGTTAGATTTGAAGGAAAAACCTTTGTAACTTTCTCCAAAGATTTTTTCTGATCTCTAAATTGGGTGGAGGGTAACTTTTCAGTGTATATGCCTCAGGTGGAAAATCCAATTTTTGAGCTTTTTAATTTTTTTCTGAATTATTCCTGGCAAATTTCCGACTTGCGTTATTGAACAGCCTAGACTTCCGAACTTCTCTCATGTTAGCACTGGTATCCCTAGGAATCCAACAAAAATCTGAGAGCATAAAAAATGACAATGAGAGAATTTTTGAAGGCAAAAGGAAAAAAAATAGAGATCTGAGTGTCGTCGCAAAATCGCTTTTATATTTACTGTAACTCCTAACTGTAAAGGTAAAAATAATGCCAATAGATACCTTTTTGTTCACTGCTCATATGTGCCAAGTATTTGAATTCATCAAAATTTCTGAAGTTTTTTTTGCAAGAAAATGAATAAAGTGTCTCAAAACTTATGTTACAACCTAATACATTGTATTTTTTATACTCTGGAACTTCTCCTGCTTCTGTCACATGTTTTCTGAGTTATCGCAACAGCGACCGAAAAAAAAGGAGACGAACGAAAGACAAGCGAAACACAGAGGAAGACTCCCTCACGAAGATGAATGAGGGAAGGAAGCGCAGCTTTTTTCACTGCTCGGCTAGTCTGTGGTCTGACAAAAAAGGAAGATGATTTAGGTTAAGCAGCTTCTGTAGTCGCAAATGGCCCTCTGGGTATAGAGGAGAGCAGAATGTTGAAATATTATATGTAGTCAAGGGAGCACAGCTGGGGCGCAGCTTGCAGGGTAGGTTTTTTGCGTTTCGCTCCTTTTAAGAGAAGAAACAAAGCGAAGTTCAGAAGTGAAATTAACTTCTTTAGATTGTTATTAACACACTGGTTAATAGCCACATTTTATCAAAAGCAGTGCGCAGACAAATGTTGATAAGTTAATCTTTTTTTACGAGTATAAACCACGACAAAAAAATACTAATCAAGACACCTCAGCTAAGCTGTATTCTTCGTCACTTGATTGAAGGAATGGAGATTTACAAGATGGTAAACTTATGTACCTCATATACCCGTCACTTTTTCCACGTTCTAGTTTGACAATTTGACTAGATCCAAAAAAACTATAGAAGCAATTCCGAGAAAGATTTTAAAGTAACTTTAGACAGATGCAAGTAAGCACTGATTCTTAACTCTCTTCCTTTCGAACAAACTTAAAGAAGTCTGCAGCTGAAGGGCAAGAAGACGATCTGCAACGCAGTATGCATTTTTCAGCAATAAAAACAAACCTAAAGGTAAATCCATTGCATTTTGTTATTCATGAAGGGGTTCACCGACAAAGAAGAAAGAAGAGAGAAGAAGTCAAAAAGGTTCCTCGGCTCAAATGTAATGCTAGGTCATTATTCACATAAAAAATAAACTACATTTTTGATGAACGCAGCTATGGAACACCCTAATCCCATAATTTTTCTTTCTAATCTCGTAGTTCCTGAAAAGAGTAATACCGAGCGCTCTTCAATCCGCATATTCCAATTTTTCGTATGATCCCATAGATGAATCGAAGCCATGAATACGATGAAATACAAGTCGAAAGTTGGAATTTACCGAAAATCTTATTTGATAATTCTTTCGCTCTTGTCGGAAACGTGTTTAGCACTCCATTTTCAGGCTAGATGATCAGTATAACTATGGAATGTTTTTAATTAACTTTAAAAAAATATTTGATGTTGATAAGCGCCCTAACAAGATGGAATTGCCTTTCCAATACGGAATACTAAAAATTGTGATCTACTTCAAGTTTATCCCAATGAATAGAGGTGGGATGGGAAGGGGCGGGGAAGAAGAAGAGGGGGGGGGGGAGAGGGAGGGTGTGTGTCAAGAGGCCAATTAACGCATTTTGGTATTTTATGATATTCTAGGGCAATTCGAATTTCTAGCTAATTTCTAACAAGGGAAAGAAGGTTGGTCGAAGTGGCCTTTTGAAATGAAATGTATACTGTCTTGTAGAGCTTGGAACGCTGATTCCAAATCTGTCTTCACTATCTGCTGCAGGCTTTTGGGCGAAGAGTTATGAAGGTTTTCGTGAGTGAAAAGTTAAATGCAAGATTAGTGTAGAATCAGTCGTAACATTTTTTCTAGGGCAAACTGATAGTCGGGTCACACGGTGCAGAAAATATTCTTGATTTAACTATACCATCTCGCTACTGCCTCATTTGAACGTCAGGACAAGGTTATGACTGATTTTATAACAATTTTGAATTTAACTTTTAACTCAAGAAGCTTCATGACTTCTCGCTCAGAAGCCCGCAGCAAATTGCAAGACTAGATGTGGAATCAGAGTTCCAATCTCATCCTGAAAGGCCACTTCGACAAAGATTCCTTTCCTTCTAAGATATGTATGAACCCTCCCATGCGTTGCTCGATCTTATCATTCTGAGATAGATTATAAACATAAGTGTTTGAGGTCCAAAATTCGTAAAAATGCAAATAATGACGTTTGTGTGGATATTTTAATCAGGTTTTTTCCAAAAATCGTCAAATTTGAGATAGTTAGTAAGCTAGAGCACTTTGTCTGGTATTTTTGAAAGACTCGGATAGCTTCAAATTGGGCTATTGAGTTGACGAGTTCTGGAGAAATCTCGCCTCTTGACCATCTTCCGAAACGAGGAGACTCTATCTTGAAATTGCTAATTACTGCCGTATAGGTATATGTTATTTGAATAACTTCCTATTCAAGATCATTTTCGCTAAGTTAGAAATCAAACGTGTTTACCAAATGCGGTTAATTGAACTACGTACATACAAAGGAAAGATGGCATCACTACGGTTACTTAAAACCGTTAATGTATGGGACCAAGAATAATTCTGCTGTTGATGAAATAAATCCAAAAAATATAGAATACCTTTTGAAAAATTTAAGGAGCAATGCTGACTTTCAACCTCTCATTGCACTTCTTATCCAGGTGGCACCGGAATCTGCGCTGGACATTCAGGGAGCGAATCTCCCGTAGGCTTTTGTAGAAAGTGGTTTTCGCAGTCGGTTTGGTGTCAAATTCTTGCATGAATCCCATTTTCGAAGCTTGAACTTTTGTAATAGTAAACAAAACCCCGCGAAACCGCTGCAAATATTTTCCCGCAGAAGTTCCGATTAATCTCAAGCAACTCAACAAGAACATTTCTGATGAAACGAAAGACCGTATGTTATGTTTCAAAACGAAACTTTCAATGACCAAGGTCGTCTCTTGTTTAGCGAAAAACATACCCGTGATTAGATCAAATGCTCTCTTATCTTCAAACCTGGGCATTTTGTGAAGTGTCAGTATATGCCGTGTTATGCCAAACCAGGTTTTTGGTGGATCTTTATTGGACCTGACGGTTTCGACAGTCTCGTTTTCTTCAGAGGTCTTGGATCCACCGCATTCCAGTAAGCCCGCACAGATAGGCAGTAAAAAGTACTTGAAGCAGCGTGGATATGTGCAAGAAAACCGAAAATGAATCTCAAGAATGAATGTCTGTCAATCAGCAGTGATCTCGTACCGTATCTATCATTATGTGATCTCACAGCCGCACATAAAAGCCTTGACAAGCTGGGTGACACTCAGTGACGTCCGTTACTGACTATCTGTGCGGGCTTACTGGAATGCGGTGGATCCAAGACCTCTGAAGAAGACGAGACTGTCGAAACCGTCAGGTCCAATAAAGATCCACCAAAAACCTGGTTTGGCATAACACGGCATATACTGACACATACCCGTGACTTTCAAAAGTTGAGATGCATCAATAAAGACCCTATATATAGCTACCTAGATCAGAACGTTTTATTCTTTTCGTTTCCATTTAGTCGTAACTTCAAGATCTCCCCTATCTATCACAGTTCAGCCAAATTTAGGAAATGCGAATTCTCTGTCTTCTAATTTTGTCTGCTGTATGTATTGGAAGTGCTATCGCCCAACTAGGACTGGGAATGGGAGGAATGGGAATGGCTCCTTATAATGAACCAGGTAGCTATTCCAAGTAATTTAATTTGTCAGATATCTTGCAAAAATTTGCTTTCAGTTGGACCATTTGGCGGTACACCATATGCACGTTTAAAAGCAATGCATGGTTATGGTATGATGGGACACCGTGGTGGTTTTGGAGGTTTTGCAGCGAACAATAATAACACATTCATAGTATAAGTATTTGCATTATGTAATAATTTCTATTTTATTGCTAAAAATCTGTACGTTTGAACTGTAATTACGTTTGATATTTGTATAAAGATTCGAACTGTCTGTTAAGGTGGACATCTGCGTAAACTGGATGATACAAATAATTTCGATACCTCAGAGCTACCAAAAGCGAGACTGGTACTGAATCGTAAATTTTGAAGTGTGTGCTATCGGAACGAGTTTTTCAAAAATTAGACTCTCTTGGGACAACAGATTTAGTACGGGAAAGCAATTCTGTCTGTTGCGATCACCGTAGACTCAAAAAATCCCTGTTTCTTTTAACCTTGCTTACCTATTAGTTATTGGTTCAGATGTACAAACTACTTTGAATAGCGAATAACTAAAGAAAACTTTTCACTCTAAAATTCCTTTCTCAAAAGCCCTAACAGCTCTTTCGGTTTTGAACTTATTCCCGATTAAAGATAAGGTGGCATGGATAATGCAGTGAAATAAAAGTGCACAACAAATTTTTCACCGCATCTTTCAAGTAAATAGCAGAGATGAGGCACGAGAACCTATACAACTATCGAGGAAAAAATTGAGTCTTTTGTATTCTGTACCTTTATTGAGTAAGGCTGTGTTACAACCTCACTGATTCTGAGAAATGTAACCAGATTGGAGATAAGTTATACTGCACACTTTGAGATTATTCAAAGGACAACATTTGAGCTATCAATTTTCTAGTACGAGCCAATGTTTTCAAAGACACAGAAAACGATAGAGTACAGAATCTACTGTGAAACTCGTCTATGCATGGTTTGAGCATCACTCCCAAGCTAAAAAAATAGAAATGAAATGCGAGTTGGCAGTTAATGAGGTGTGCCTGGCATCACATTGCGACTACACGGACAAAAACATGGAAAATGTTATTTATTGATACCCTTGCAAACTGCACTAATTGCAGGTGCAAACGAAGGGATACGCATATGGGCATGAATTCCCATAAAATAGCTTTTAGGTTTGTCAAGCCTTGAGTTTTAACTTTGCGAAAAATGATGGATTGACAGGTGTTCTGATGTTTGTATTCGCGTCCGAAAGTAAGTAGCCAGCAAAGAATCAAAGTTGAGAGCGAAGTACGCACATCGTATAAATTGTTCGTACTATTCCAGTACGATTTCTTTAAATGAAATACGATCCACAAGTAAAATATTTATTTACAACTTGCACAATGAAAAAGACATATATTTCTATAATTTTGAGTTGCCTTACCTAATGTGATTTGACATTTGCCAGGTTCCTCGCCTGTCAGGGACGAGGCAGCTTGCCCATCTTACCTGCCCCCCGTTTCCCTCGGCTCCCCTTAAGGGCTATTGCTGTTCTCAAAACATAATGTTAAACATTTCCCGTCACTGTGAGAACGCACATCGACATTGTAACAAATCATGAATTGGGGATTCATGACATAAATTGTATAAATTCGCCAAAACGGGAAGTAGGAGTGTGAATGGGTTTGCTCGAAACGGTCTTTGAGGTTAATCAGGGGTTTGGGGGTGGAAGGTGATTGAGATCGACTTGGCTACCGACAACACTTTCGAACGAAAGTGATTCTTAAAGATTAACTTACTGTAACTTGAATAAAAACTGCTTTCACCCCGCCCCTCATACTCCAATACGACAAGCAGATAACTCAACTATTTTGACGGCAAACATCGTTTGGATATCTCTCGAAGTGCAATATCAGACAGATTCATGCTTACTAATACTTGTACACAAAACTAATTTGATTTTTTAATAACTCATTGTCAAACTTAGAAATTCGCCAAAGATTCAAAGGTGCATTCGAGAAATAGTGAAACTTCTGCTGGAAGAAAACTCGGCCTTTTGTCCCCAGTTGGGGTAAAAAAGCAGGGGCGACATTTTGAGCTACTAGATTTTTAGCAATGTGAGGCACACGTTTATCTTCTAGAAAATGCAATGAAAGAAGTTATAACGATTTGTTCCGAAGTCTATGTCAATTCTTTTCTCAATAGGAACCCAGTTCCATTTTTTAGATCACTGGAAAAAAAGTAATGATTTATGAGCCAGCAATAAAAACTAGCTGAAGCTATTTTCTCGGCAAATAGTTTTGAGCGGATAAGTTCATGTTAGAAATGAGATAGCATAGAAAATTAGATTGGTTCTAATGACTCATGAGAGTATTAGTGAAGTTACTGCCAAGATTTAGCTCTGCTGAGTTGGCTACCGTATATTCTGAAAAATACCTTGAGCGTAGCCAGATCATGATGAAGGTAGGTCATTCGAGATCACAGCAACAATGAGCTTGACATTTTATCCGAGAAAGGGTAAAGAATTATAATTCAGTAGATCGAGTAGAGCACACTGATGTATGAACTCTGCCAACAATCTTATGTGCAATCTTCTTCGTGACATTGACATACGGACACTTCTAATTGCTTTTTGTCCATGAATATTACGAGCACTAACTCGGAGATGCTTTGTGAAGCCTAGAGAGCAGAACAGAAGAAATAGAACAGAATCATTGCACAAGGAGAAAAAGGAGAGAAGATTCAGAAACCTTTGAAAACTCTCAGAAATACTAAAAGATACTGCTGCACACATGCACATAATTTAATAGTGTGACGTGACTAGATTTGATCTTCTGCAAGTATGTTAAAGCTATAGATGAAAGTCAAAGAATCATGAAAAAAGTGCAATTTTCACAAAGTAAAAGATAGCAGCTTCCAAGCCCTTGCCTTCCCCTAGCAATGATTCGGACTTTCAGATTTCAATAGCGATGCTTGTAGATATCACCCTTGGTTTGTTCCATAACTTTAGCAAGGAATATTCCTTATTTTGAGCTAGAGTAGTGTAAGAAACTATTTTTAGAACACTAATTACGGCAGCGACATCATTGTATAGGAAGTGAGAATATTCTTCAACCTTTCTAGCAATTTATCGTAGCGCTTTGTATACCGCATATTGCACTCTAGCAAAAGTATAATATTTTCGTCCGAATTCGCAGAAATTTGCGATTCAATTACTGTGAGTTTTGTAGCTTGCAAAACTGCATTTTTGCAATTTTTAGCGAAGAAGGCCAAGTGTAGCTCAGAGCGCACGTACATGCACTTTCTATCTAGATTTTTCTAGAAAGTTTTACAACTGGAAGCAGGGCTCGGCACAGCTCACCGGGTCAAGCTGGATATCGTTTTTAGTGCGTAAAGCAAAGGGGATGTCGTTTTTCTGGAGACCGGAGAAAAGCCGTAAGAATGTCGCCGGCATGACCGGCATGCTGTCCATCAAACAAACAAAGGCGTTGTTTTCAATCAAAACGCAATAGTATGACACCAAATTTGTTGTGTGCATGCGCGTTGGGGGACCCGAACTATGGTCCAAAAATTTATGAAAACTTATGTAAATGTAAGCTGTGCTGAACTTTTTTCTGAATTAGCTGGCACCGTGCCAGCTGGGTGCCGGCTGAGCTGGCACCGACACTTTGCTCGCATAAGTTTTCATAGTATTTTACATAAATTGCATCTACACAGCTAAGTTTACATACAGAGAAGAAGCAATTTCATAATGTTTTCTTTTCGGCGTTTTACCATTTAAAAATTACTCGATCTGCCCCGCAGCCGAAAAATCGGATTTTGTCTGCCTCTCAACATGTGATTCAATTACTTAAAAAGCTCAGAAAGCTGTGAAAAGTTGTTCCATGAAGTCAGCATGCATGAAAACCCTGCTACATGCTTTTACATAATCTAAAAATAACGACGGGTCTTCAGAACAGGTCAAAGGGGACTCGTACGAAATTTTTAACATCAAACGGGACTTCGTTTTGAAATTTCCCTGGTGCCAGCTCGTGCCGAGCCCTGACTGGAAGCATCACTTACAAATGATTTTGACTATGCTTTGATTTTATGAGATGTTTTAATATAACCATGTAACCCATGTAATGATGAGACATCAATGATAACTTCAAAACTACCCATAAAAATAGAATAGTACATTGAAGCAGGCAGCCGAAATCCATTCATGAGCTTTAATCTATAGAAGAGAAGAACGATAGCTTCAGTTACAATACATTGTTGGAATTATTTAAAACACACCAGCTATTAAATACTTCTTGTGAGCAGTTTGAGTTTCAAGCAGAGTTATGACACTGCAACTATATGGGAATTATCTCTACACCAGTTGAAAATGAGTGACACTACTAACACGGTAGAAAAATGATAGAATAGCCTGATATTTTGAGAAAGAATCTAGACTAAACACATATTAATTCAAAATGTATATGTCGATTAGTTTTCGATCTCATGAGATCTGCAACCTTACTTACAGAGGAGTTCCGGAAGAGGTCCTTACATTCTTTCACAACATCTAACATAAGGGCAGGAATGTGTCGAAATTTAGTAATTTTCTGAATATAGATTCTATTATTATTGTTAAGCGTATAGAAATGAAAAAAGGCAGCGCAGCGTTCAAACAACAGCGCTTCAGTGCTGGGTCCTCTTCATAATTTATTACATGGTTTCCGAGTTATCGCAACAAGAGAGAGGGCGAGAGAAGAAAAAGGAGATAAATGAAAGACAAGCGAGATAGAGGGAGAGGAAGACTCGCTCTCGATGATGAATGACGAAGCGGAAACACAGATCATTTCCTTCAGTGGTTCGGTTAGCTTGTGTTCTAACAAAAAAAGGATGATTTAGGCTAGGACCGCTTTGCTCCATATAAGTGGCCCTTTGAGTCAGAGGCATGGAAGGTTGAAATATTATCTGTAGTCAAGGGAGTTTCACAAAAAGGTAGCACAGCTGGGTCGTAGCTACTGCCAGGGCAATTTTTTGCGACGCTATGAAATCTTGCAAAGCTCTAATAGCTGAAGTTTTTTTGTTGAAAGTTGCAAGCGATGAAGCTTCAGCGTGTATTTATTAGAATATCAACTATCTCACTCGAAGTTATCTTCTAGGCGGCTATCGATGTAGTGCTGGACTATGTCGATCAGAAATTTGCTTAATTCAGCTTCTCTGACAGTT